AAGTCAGTTGGACCCAGAGTCAGTCAGAGCCGGAAGAGCCTCCTAAGAGCATTTCCTATTTGTAAGGTGGCGACTAGCGTTTTATCTATGTCCATTCATATATGCGATATATGGTGTTAAAGAGAATCCTGCAGCTAAGGAGGTTAGAATAGGGCCCTGGAGAGATCACTAAATTACTCAAACATGCATAGATAACACATAAAACCTCTTCAGACATATTTTTGATGAGGGAACAACATTATAACCTGGTAGAAAGCTCCAAAAAGTTGATTTAAGCAAAATGAGAGGTTTAGTATTGTGAAATAATTCTTAGTAATGATTCTTTACTTCATCTAGGAGTGGTCCAAGTTAGAAAACATGTTAAATATATACATAAATAGTCATCTGGACGATGTTTTTCGATTCAGGGCGTTTCAACTTTTACCCAGAAGTCATTTTAAATCTGAAGGAGCTGGTGTGTGTGTAATTCGTAGTAGTTTTTTGTATTAAGTTTGGTGACTTTGGAGGAGCTGAAGGTCTCCTCTGAAGCTCATCTCTTCAGGTAAACACTGCACCAGGAGAATGGAGTTTGTTTTACGTTTGTTTGGTCGTGTAGTGAACAAAGACAAGCAGACGATGGATTTTTACACATTGTCGACGCTTTGTTTGAGGGAAAATAAAGCCTCCAGACTGTGTCAAAGGGAAGCATGTCTGGAACTTTGCATAACTAAACAGTTTTATTACATATTTCTTACAAACGTCTCCAAAAATGAGAGAAGAGAAGAAGCATTACAACAGTGTGGGCAAAATGGGAAAACTCTACGGCACTCTGAGCAGTTGAAAGTTATTATTTATTTGAGAAAAGGATGCTTAAATATGTAAATAACTGATTATTAAAATAAAAGGCAACTAATTTAGTTTAATCCAGGTTTCCACACAAACAATTTTTCATAAATATTGGTTACACGGATAAAAAACTGTGCCCTACAACTTCACAAACCTGACGCGATGTGCACTAGTTTCATTAGCGGGATGCACGCTGATTGTGTTGTGACGGTGCTCTGAAGGGGGAGTGACTTAGCGCCAGAGTCCTGCACGGGTCCATTTTTGGAGACCTGCACCCGCGCAGTCCAGCACCACACCCGCAGGACTGAACCTACACAGTGTCAATTGTGGATTATAAATATATACACGACGCAACTGCAGAGCCAGGACTACACCAGAACTGGACCAGAACTGGACCAGGACTGCACCAGGACTGGACCAGGACTGGACCAGGACTGGACCAGGACTGGACCAGGACTGGACCAGGACTGAACCAGGACTAAACCAGGACCGAATCAGTGTCATTAACACAAACATATACATGTTGCAACCACCAAGCTGATCACAGGACTACATCCGGACTAAACCAGGTCTAAACCAGGTCTAAACCAGCTCCAAACCAGGTCCAAACCAGGACTAAATCAAGTCTAAACCAGGTCTTAATCAGGACTAAACCAGGACCGAATCAGTGTCATTAACACAAACATATACATGTCGCAACCACCAAGCTGATAACAGGACTATATCAGGACTAAACCAGGTCTACATCAGGACTACATCCGGACTAAACCAGGTCTACATCAGGACTACATCCTGACTAAACCAGGTCTACATCCGGACTAAACCAGGTCTAAACCAGGTCTAAAACAGGAATAAATCAAGTCTAAACCAGGACTAAATCAAGTCTAAACCAAGACTAAACCAAGACTAAACCAGGACTAAACCAGGACTAAGCCAGGACTAAACCAGGACTAAACCAGGACTAAACCAGGACTAAGCCAGGACTAAGCCAGGACTAAGCCAGGACTAAACCAGGACTAAACCAGGACTAAACCAGGTCTAAACCAGGTCTAAACCAAGAGATTGTTTTTTTTTTTTTACTTGTAAATGTGCATTTATGCAATTATGTCTACTTATTTTGAATTTATTATCACCATTTATATTTTTTCTCTTTGTTATTTTGTTATATTGTGATTTGGGAGCTACTGTGTCCAAATAATTTCCGCTGTGGATCAATAAAGTTTGTCTAATACCCCCTTTTTAAAGAAAAATTATTTAAAGGGTCCATGTTACGCCATTTTCTGATCTATGTTATCGGGATGTAACAATATCCAAATCCCTCGATACGACATTTTCATGATATACATTTCACGGTACGATATTTATTGCGATATTTTGTGAATATGGCACTGAAACGGTGAAAAGGATCATGGTCTATGTAGTTCCCTCTGTTTTTCTAGTTATATTGCTGCACTATAACTTAAGAAACTTCGATATTTGAGCTTTGGAAATGTAAACAGATTAATAATAAAGCTTTACTCAAACATGTGAACGAAACAAAACACAACTCCAGGTCTGTTTAAGTCAATTTTCCATAATATAAGACCTTTAATTATACTACCGTACATAAATATACTCCTATATCTTCATGATCTAAACTACAAAATAATGAATTAAAATTATAATAAAAAGAGGTGCTGTGCCAGTGTTTTTGTGAGTCATTTTGTCAAAGTCAAATGAAGGACAGAGTGAAAAGCTGCGGCGAAATGAGCGTCGTCGTTAGGCCGCCGCGGTGTAATTGAGTTTGTTATTGTTGTGAAGAGTCTCCGCCTCCTCACTGAGCCGCACGGAGACGCACGATATAAAGAGTCTGTCTGCCCCACAGGAACACACCGGAACGACTATCCATCACTCCACACCACAACACAGCACGAAACGGAGAGAGAGAGAGGAGAGGGAGGAGAGAGGGAGGGAGAGCAGAGGAGAGGAGAGGGAGGAGAGGAGAGGAGAGAGGATGAAGAGAGAGGAGAAAAGAGGAAGGGAGAAGAGAGAGAGACATTAATGTGGGTAGGGAGATAGAGGGAGACCGAGAGAGGAAAGAGGGGAAGATAGAAGGTAGAGAGAGGGGGAGGAGAGAGGAGAGGAGAGAGAGAGGAAACAGGGAGAGGGTGACAGAGGGGGAAGAGAGAGAGACACGTTAGTGTAGGTAGGGAGATAGAGGAAGACCGAGAGGAAAGAGGGGGAGGAGAAGAAGGGAGAGACAGAGAGGGAGGAGAGAGAGATGAAGGAGAGAGATGAAGGGAGAGGGGAGAAAGTGAGAGAGGGAGGAGAGAGGAGGAAGAACGAGAGAGAGAGAGATTAGTGTAGGTAAGGAGAGAGAGAGAGGAGGAGAGAGGAGAGAGAGAGAGAGAGAGAGAGAGAGAGAGAGAGAGGAGCGAGAGAGAGAGAGAGAGAGAGAGAGGAGAGAGGAGAGAGAGGAGAGAGAGAGAGAGAGAGAGAGAGAGAGAGAGTAGTAGGTAGGAGGAGAGAGAGAGAGAGGAGGAGAGAGAGAGAGAGAGAGAGATTAAGTGTAGGTAAGGAGAGAGAGAGAGAGAGAGAGAGAGAGAGAGAGAGAGAGAGAGATTAGTGTAGGTAAGGAGAGAGAGAGAGAGGAGGAGCGAGAGAGAGAGAGAGAGAGAGATTAGTGTAGGTAAGGAGAGAGAGAGAGAGGAGAGATGAGGAAGAGCAGAGAGAGAGATTAGTGTAGGTAAGGAGAGAGAGAGAGGAGGAGAGATGAGGAAGAGCAAGAGAGAAAGAGCGAGAGAGAGAGAGAGAGACAGATTAGTGTAGGTAAGGAGAGAGACAGGAGGAGAGAGAAAGGGGGAAGAGAGAAAGGGGTAGGGGAGAGACTAGAGAGAGGGAGGGAGGAAGAGAGAAAGAAACGTTAGTGTACGTAAGGGACAGAGAGAGAGAGAGAGAGAGAGGAGAGAGAGAGAGAGAAAAAAGAGAGGAGGAGAGATAGTGAGAGAGAGGGAGGAGAGGGAGAGGGATAGAAGGAGGAGAGAGAGGAAGGGAGAGAGAGATTAGTGTAGGTAGAGAGAGGGGGAGGGGAGAGGAGAGACAGACAGAGAGGAAGAGAGAGGAGAGAGAGAGACATTAGTGTAGGTGGAGAGAGAGGAAAGAGAGGGATGAGAGGAAAAGAGAGAGAGATTAGTATAGGTAGGAAAAGAGAGAGGAGGAAGAGCGAGAGAGAGGGAGATTAGTGTAGGTAGAGAGAGGGGAGGGGAGAGAGTGACAGAGAGAGAGGAGAGAGAGACATTAGTGTAGGTGGAGAGAGAGGAAAGAGAGGGATGAGAGGAAAAGAGAGAGAGAGATTAGTATAGGTAGGAAAAGAGAGAGGAGGAAGAGCGAGAGAGAGGGAGATTAGTGTAGGTAGAGAGAGGGGGAGGGGAGAGGAGTGACAGAGAGAGAGGAAGAGAAAGAGACATTAGTGTAGGTGAAGAGAGAGAGGAAAGAGGGGAAAAGAGAGAGAGATTAGTATAGGCAGGGAGAGAGCGAGGAGGAGGAGAGAGAAAAGAGGGGGAAGAGATAGGGAAGAAGAGAGGGAAAAGGGGGAAGAGGGAGGGGAAAAGAGTAGGGAGAGAGAGAGAGAAAGAGCATGGGAGGGAGAGAGAGAGGGGACAGAGAGAAGGAGGGGCAGAAAGGGTGAGACAGAGTGAGGGAGAGAGGAAAGAGGTGGATGAGAGAGAGAAGAGTGAGAGAGAGACATTATTGTAGATGGGGGGAGAGAGAGAGGGAAAAGAGCGGGAAGAGGAAGAGGGGGAGTAGAGAGAGTGAGAAGGGACAGAGATATTAGTGTAGGTAGGAGGAGGGAGAGAGAGAGAGAGAGAGGGTGAAAACAAAAAGGAAGGAATGGAGAAAGCCTCGTTAATAAAAAAAACAAACAAAAAAAACACATTTGAAACCTTTTCATTGACATGCAGCGGTTATTTGTGAAAATGTGGAAGAAATGATGGATAGTGCGAAGTTTGTAAAGATAAACAAAGCCGCAGTTTATCTTTGTCTCTAAATGTTTAATTCTCCAAAAGTGTTCGTGTCGAGTTTGTCGTCCGTGTGCTCCTCGCTGCTTTTGGTGGATTCTGTTCTGTATCTTTGTGAAAAACTGTAAATATATCAGTTATAAATATAAAATCTTGAGTGTTTTGCGGTGGTTTTACCTTCCTCTTCTTGAAAGCCTGACGGGCCAGATACCCCCGACACGCCGCCTGGAACCGAGAGATGTTTGTGCGAGTCTGGACGTCCCTCTGCTCCTCCAGCCTGGACAGGGTCCCCGCGCGGAAGAACACCTACGGAGACACGAGAGGGACAGATTTAGAAAAATATATATATCAGAAACGCTGCAAGAAAGTGGTGCTGTTATTCAACTCTTATGTTAGGATAAGTGTCAACTGAAAGGACTTTAAACCACCTGAACCGGTTTCTAAATAACCTGAACCTGCAGATAGAAGTTTCTCTTATTCTCAGGGGCTGTTTACACGAGAACGCTTGCGGATAAAAATGACAAAATATTTTATCGGAAGTGCCGTTTTGTTTAGGCGATGACGCCGTTTTTGGGGCTTAAAAATACAAAAATCTGAAGTTGAATATGTTTCCCCGTAGTGTTTTTGTCTACACTGCCCAAGACGCAAAACTCTGGTCAGATCTGCTCACATCACGTACACATTTACATCACAAACATACAGTACACTGAAGCCTCACATGCAATCAAATTCTAAACACTTTTGCGTCACCGTATGCACACAAATTCACAAATTTCCTCCCGAAAATGCTCATCTTAATGCGGATAAAAAAGTGAAGATGCGACGCCACCTTTGTGTCTTCTGTTCACACCGTCATCGTATAAATGTAACCTCAGTAGAAGTCCAGAACCTCCAGAATCCCCTCCCTGAGCTGCAGAGGCTGCACTAGCACTGACTCAGGATTAGCTGCAGGTGCTGGGGTTTAAGTAGTGACTGTTCACATCAGAGAGATGCATTTTAGGTTTACACCAACTGGATTTCAGCATTGAAACTGAAACTATCAACGCGAATGAGAGTCATGTGAGGCTCATTCTGTTTTCTGACTTGATCCAAAACACCAAATTATAACAAACAACTTGACCGTCATGTCTAATGTTTGTGTAATTAAGAATAAATGAGTATTACACTTGTTATGCATGTAAAATGTGATTTGAGCATGTGTACCTCATATGTATGGAAACGTTTTAACGATGCATTATGTAACTTTTCTGGTAAAGGGTGTTTTTACAAATGTTTTTCTCTATGAAGATGTTTTTGCTTCATCTGCAATGTTTCACAGTATGGCATTAAACCTTTCTATCTTCATGGAGACCAAACCAGACCAAGTTACAGGTCAGATCTGTGGAGAGGCGACCCCGCTCACAGTCAAAATCCATGTTTTTTTGCCTGATTTTTGAGATAAAACCACCTTTAACTGAATAAATGTACGTTTACATGAGCGCTTTAATTCCGAATAAAAATTATTTAATTTTGAATAAAAATGAATTCCACTTTAAAAAGACTGTGTAAACAATAATTAATGAAAATGGCACAGGCTCCGCCCTCCAAACGTGACGTAGGCTCTGAGTGAGCCGCCCTTCCTCCGCCATCTCAGGGAGGGAGGGGGAGGCAGGCGTGCACCCTGATAGAGGAAGGAATAAACTTTTATTCATCATGGAGATACAGCGCGTTCAGCCGCATGTGTTGGACCCAGAATCAGACGAGGACTTTGAGGAGCACGAAGTTCAAGCACCGCGTCCACATCAACTGAACATTACTGATTGGTAAAGTATTAATAAACACTAGTAGATCAACTTATTATATCATGTGTGAGTGGGCGGAGGCAGGTGTGAAGCGTTTTCTGCTACGTCAAACGCGTCATAGGTGTATCTGCCGCGTCATCGTTGTAGCAGCTTTAGTTCGTCGTCACGTGGGAGGGTGGCAGAAATATGCTGCAATTTGTTACAAAAAACGCCGAATCAATCTAAAAAACACTTCGGTGACATATACAAGGCCCACACATCACTCTTAGAAGGTAGAAAGCTCTGAAAAGTTGATTTTGCATGAGATGGGCCCTTTAAATAAAGGCAATTTAACGTGTTTTCCATGTAAACCTCAATTTGGAATTATTATTTCCACGTAAACTCGTTCATCTCCCAGTTATTCGTTTTCTTATATTTTATCACTTTTTTTTTTTCATTACAATAGTGGAGGAGAGGCGTTTATAGCTCCACTGGTTCTGAACAGTTCTTATCCGAGTGGACTGACCCTATAGAAGCCAAGAGGCCGGTGAGACTCGAAAGGTTAGCATGAGTGGCTCTTTTAACTTATGATTTAGTGGAGGGCTCTGAGCCGGTGCTTCAACGCCAAAGAGGCAATAAGGAGCTGTGAGAGCGGCCTATACTGTTGGAATCTGCCGCGCAACTGTCAGACTGCAGATTTCTGACGTGGTTTATGGTTCGTATCTCCGTAATTACCGGGTCTATCCGCGTGAAACAAAAACCATCGCGGAGTTTTTCGAATTCTCCGTCGTAAATAAACAAAAGTGGAATTATTCTTGCACAATGGCCTCTGGAAGTGGTGCCATTATTCAGCCCCAAAGACGGGAGGGTTGTCAGTGCAGATTAATATGGAAAGTTTATGGAGCCAGTCCCAAACAAATAATGATACAGTTCGACATTTGTGCATCTGAACTTTGGAGATTTCCTTCAAAAACTGTGAATTTCCCGTAGAGTGATACAGGAAATCATGACGTCATTAAAGGGTACATATAACGCAATTTTCTGATCTGTGCTATGATGTTGTTTTCTCATCACAAACAGACCTGGAGTTTGTTTTGTTTCATTCACAATAGGGATGGGCATGATTAATCGATTAATCGATAATTGATCATTAAGAATTTCATCGATTACATTAATTTTAATCGACAAAAAGAAAGTCGGTTGCTGTGTGTATCGTGACCAAACAGGTGTGTACATGTGTCTCTGCATGAGAAGGAGCGAGCAAACAAACAGTGGGTCAGTCTGCAACGTACCGAAGCACAAATGTGTATTTAACGATGACTTGTACAAGAAATTCCACACTTTCCGTTGCATTCGGGACAAGTGTGAGTCCATGTGCACAGTGTATAAAGCAGCACATATGTTTCTGTGTCCAGCGGGAAAAAGTTTTACCAGGTGAGAGTCGCTCAATGTGGATGACGAGTCTCCACCTCCCTCCCCCCGTACGGTGTCCTGGTTTTAACAAACGCAAATCTGGTCACACTAACCTGTATTCACCTGAGTCATGTCTTTTAATCCAACAGAAATTGAACCACATCAGCGACACAAGAGCTGTAGTTTTATCTTCACTTAGTTTATGCAAATTAGCGATGCGGTTTTAAGTTTCGTTTCTGTGAGAGTTGAACAAAACTGAATTAAACACATTATAATGTCAAACGGGCTGATGTGGCTCTAGAGTCGTTACGGTTTATATGTCGTAAAGTTGAATTTATTTATGCAGATTAGTAGTGCAGATAGTAATAATAATGATGATCATTTTAATATAAAAACGTTAATGATTAATCGATAATCGATCGTTAATTCTTCCGACGATCGATTAAGAAATTTTCATCGAATGCCCATCATGTTGAACTAAGCTCTGATGAAGACCAGTTTGATCGAAAAACATGTTGGCTTTGTCCATTTAAATAAAGCCCTTTTAACTGCATTTCTCCTCGTGCGATTTTTACTTCTTTGGAATGCCTGGAGTCCGTTGTGTTTTAGTTTTGATCCTTTTTCCAAGAGCGCCCTTTACCTCCTCCCACAGATTGGAAAACCTGCAGCAAACAGCCACATTTTAGTTTTTTTCTGCACAGACCTGGAGTTGCGTTTTGTTTTGTTTCAGTCACACATGTTTAAAAGACAAACCCTGCATATTTAGGTTCATCTCGCAAAATGAAAAACACCTTTAATATTTGGAGAACTGTGCCGGCGCCGGTTCCCGCGCCCAATCTCGAACCGTCTGACATGTTTACGCTTGAAAATCAGAGCAGTAGTCGACGTCAGCAGGTTCATCTGGGTCACACGCGGCAAAACAAACAAAGAAAACGTGTGTGTGGAATACGGAGGAGAAATCAAGTGACAAGAAGAGTGCAGTGGTCAGAGGAGGAGACCAAATATTTGTATATCCTTGTTCTCCTGGTGAGGTTCCATCTTTGGTTTGGGCGTCGCTGTCGTCTTCTCCACAGCAGATGTTGTATCAGAGCTCGGCGCAGATAAATAATGATTTGTCTGAGTACAAACGCTCGCCGGTGTCGATGATGTGATCCATGATTTTTATTTTCCTCGCTGTGACATCCACTTTCATATGGCCTTGTTTTTATTTGGTGGCAAATCCACTCCCTCTGTCGATGACGCATCGTGGGTTCACTTAAACAGTTTGACTCCACTGTGTTTTCTAACTCCACACAGTTTCACTAGAATCATCTGGATAAATTCAGCTCTGCAGTTGTCAATCTCTGCTGAACTAGAGGTAAAATGTAGCTGGTGACATCACAAGGTGGAACAGAACATTTTGAGGTTTGGAGATGTAAACAAACTAATAACGCAGAGTTACTTAAACATGTGTGAGCGAAACAAAACACAACTCGCCTGTAACGATTACAAATTTTGCTGGATGATTAATTGACCAAGAATTTATTGCGATAAACGATAATACTGACATTGAGAGATCAATTTCAACCAATATAATAACCATGGAATAAAAATGCAAATACACCCTTTCAAAGATCAATAAACTTTACTTTCTAAATAACATTTAACACAGGAACTGTAAGACAACCAAAAACAATAAACCTAAATAAAACAGACTTAACATAGGACTAGCCTAATGTAGTCTGACTGACAGCAAGGACTTGTTAATAAAAATGCAAATTTCACTATGAGGGAGCCACTGTCCTGTCTGGTGTCATGTCGTGTCGGTTTCAGGATTTCGGGCTCTCCTGGGCGCCAGGCTAGTTCTGTCGCTCGGGTTTGGGTTTATATCGGCTGTTACGCCGGACGTACACTGTGAGATATTTTCGGTCGTGTCACTCAGCCCCAGCTTAAACTGTACGACCAAATCACAGGGTTTAAAAGTTCACAGCTCACGAATCATGTTCTCACACTGAACGAACCGATGCTCGGATGCGACTTGCCTGCTCACACTGTACGTTCACATAACGACCGGAGTTGTCAAAGTTCTTGTTCCGGAAGTAGAAAACCACGAAGAAGAAAACCACGGAATTAGAAAACCACAGATGTGCGGAG